AAAAAGACCAGACTTAATGGTTTGACTGATATTGGAGGGACCCCGGAAGACATGGCCCCCGGACTCTCTGTTAGTCCAGCACTAAAACCATTCCCGAGGCCAACTCTTCAGACAACGATCAGACTGGACTATGGGACAATGATACTCATGAAGAGTGTGCGTCTTACAGTTGGAAGAGCGTAGTCAATGTCACTGAACTGTGCATGTACAAATTTTTGAAACGGTGTATCTTTGGCTATGTGCATTTTCACCAAAAAAAAAAAAAAAAGGTTGAGAAGTTAGAGAGTTAATATGTTGTGGGGTTGTTAACCAATGTCATAAAACAACATGTGTACTACTGTTTCATGAGAAACCATTTGTTCTGTAAGCCTTCACCTGAGGTACGATAAAATATAAAAATAAAAGAAAAAAGAAAAAAATAAAAATAAAAAAGAGTGTGCATCTTAGCTCAAGTAGATACATGAGACTAAATGGGCAGCTCCTGTCCGGAGGCGAAATGAGAAGGCAGAGAGGGTTAGGAGCTGGTTGAATGGACATGGGAAATCCAGGGGCGGGGGGGAGGGAGGAAGAGTGTGCTGTCACAGTATAGGGAGAGCAACTAGGGTCACACAACAATGTACGTATAAATTTTTGTATGAGAAACTAACTTGAATTGAAAACTTTCCCTAAAAGCACAACAATAAAAAAAAAGAAAGTTCCCAAGTGGTGCAAACAATTAACATGATTGGCTGCTAGCTAAAAGGCTGGAGGTGCAAGTGCACCCAAAGCAGCTCGGAAGAAAGGCCTGGCGATCTACTTTCAAAAGATCAGCCGTTGAAAACCCTGTGGAACACAGTTCTACTCTAACATACATGTGGGTACCATGAGTTAGAACAGACTTGATGGCAAATGGTTCTCTCTTTTTACAAGTTTGGCAGTAGGAAAAAAAAACGCAAAGCAATGTTATCAAGAAAGAGACTTTGTGCTGGTGAATTTCCTCTAAAACATGTTTTCCTTCTCTAAAATATTTCTACTCTGGAAAACAGAAATGATAATAAACAAAGAATAAACCATCTAAATTCAGGATCAGCATCTGCCAGGTTTTTTTTTTTAAATTAAAAAATCTTGACGGGCACCTGGTAGCTGCATTAGACGCACAGGACTGAGACTTTCCCCTTTACGTGATGAGAACTAACAGAGTGAAGAGGAAATGACTCCCTCACTGTGATCCCATGGTATTTCACACCCTTTCATCTTGACTACTATCTTCACTCATCTTCTAGTTTTGAGGGGCGACAACCAGGGCAATGGGGAGCTAGACAAGATGATCGAAAGAATGCTATGTAAAATGTAGAGTCAGCTAACAACATTCCTTCAAGTCAGTTTGTGATACAGGAATGTTGGCCCTACATTTAAAATTACTTGCTGTTGTTAGCTGCTGTCGGGTTTGCCCCCAACTCATAGAGACCCCGTGTGTGTCAGAACAGAACTGAGATCCGTAGGGTTTTCTTGGCCGTAATCTTTATGGAACAGTTCACCAGGCCTTTCTTCCACGGAGCTGCCAGGTGGGTTCAAACCGCCATCGTTTAGGTTCGCAGCTGATCACAAATTCAGCACACCCTATTCTTCCAAAGAACGAAGGGTCAACACACAGGGTATTCCAGGGCTCTCTGTCCCTCCCACCTCCCTCCCTCCTGAGAGGTCTTGCTCTGGGCTGTTCAGGCTCGGGATTTCTAGGCTGGAGAAGACCCCGCTCCTGTCCTGGGGCCCCGTCCCAGCTGTAAAAGCACAATGGCCACTTCCTGGCAGGAGTGGTGTCCTGGCCGTGCTGAAGCAGCTTTGGCCATGGTCCAGGGCAGGCCCCTCCAAAGGCTCCTCTCCTGGACTCAGGCCAGGTGGGTGGGACACAGGCTCTGCTGCTCTCCCGGGTACCGACGAGGGAAATGACCCAACGGGGCAGAACATCGGACGCTGGGGGCAGCCGAGGCTGGGACTTGCACCCCATAGCGGCTCTCAGAGCCTGGCTGGTTGGTGTGGATATCGGTCATTTAGCCTCTGCCTGGTCTGACTTTAACCCTGTTGTTCCAGTCCTGGGGAGACGGTACCCACGTCCAGGCCCCACCCTGAGATTCCCACAGAGCAGGATAGGGCATTTTAACACTTTTACACATCAGGGTTCTGTATCACTCTCCGGGTGGGACTGAGAGGCACTGCAGAGTAGGGGTGCTGCACCTTTCATCTGTATGGAGACACTGGGGAGCTTCCGTAGAGAACTCTCCCCACCCTCCGCCTCAGATCTCATTGACTCTGAGTAGAGACCAGGAGGGCGCAAGCTCTGAAAGCCCTGCAGACGGGTCGGGCACGCCCTTGGGGGCCAGGCGCTACCCACCACGGCAGACAGGTTGGGCAC